CGGTGGCTTAAACTCACGCCAGGCACGTGTGCGTGCATGCCCAAGATCCCAAGAGGAGAATGGAGGAGAAGGGATTGCTGTGTGGTCATCCCCCCGGGGGGAGTGTTTTCTCGCTTTCTGTCTCTGTCTCTCTCTTTCTGGCGAGCGCACGTGCCCTATAGCAAAAACCTCTCCAAAAAAAGAAAAAAAAAAAAAAAAAAAAAGAAAGGAAAGGGAAACACAAAAAAAGCAAACTAATGAGAGCAAGGGAAACTATGCTCTAAACTCCATCTTTTAGGCTCTTGAAATATTCAGACAAGAAGCCATTTCAAAGCTGAGGTGTGTCCTGGTGTGTTCAGGGAAGCTATGCTCTAAGCTCCATCTTCTAGGCTCCCAAAATATTCAGACAAGGTAGGTCGACCTCGGTCTTCTCCGTCTCTAGCTGTCCGCCTCTCTGTCTCATACTCTCTCTCTCTTTAAATTTTATTTTATACATTTTTAAATTTTTCAACCACTTCTCCTCACCTTGGGCCTTTTCTTTCACTTGCTAATTTCAGAAGCCATTTTTAAAGCTGAGGTGTGTCCTGGCTAGCAGACCATGCAGTTTTTATTTTTTAATCTTTTTTGGTAGTATTTTTCTAAATTTTTTTGCTTATATTTTTTACCCTTACTTTCCTAAAAGAGCTTCACTCTCCACACACTGAATGTCTAGACAGGCATAGGTACATAGTAGCCAAGCATCTGAATATTTTTAGAGTCATTGAAATCCTCAATGCTTATTGAACCTCCTGCTTTAATGAAGAAATTCATTTTTATAAATATGAACTCCTAATCTGTCGGTGGATACCACAATGGGAAGCACAGTCGAGGAGAGATTTTGTCACAGAATGATCAGAAACAACCACAGAGGCACAAGAAACATGAGAAATCAAGAAACTACCTTTCCCCTAAGGGAAAAGAACAATCCCTCATCATCCACAGACAGTACAGTAGAACTCATGGAAATGTCTGACAGAGAATTCAGACTATTCATAGTGACAAAACTAAACGAGATGCAAGAGCTGAGAGATAATGAACTCCAGAAGATGCCAGAGAAAAAGAGACAATGAGTTCCAGGAGGAGTTGAAGTTCTGCCATGATCTGAAAGAGGGAATACACACCATATAAAAGAATCAAATGGACTTATTAGAGATAAAGGCTGCCATTCAGGAAATCAAAACCTCCCTTGAAAAGTATTAAAAGCAAATTAGTCTGTGCAGAAAATTGAATCTCAGATGTGGAAGGCAAAACCTCTAATCTAGAAAAAATAACCAAAAAAAAAAATTGCCCCAAAATTAGAATACTATACGAGAAACACTAGACAGCATTAAGTGCCCAAACATCCAGATAATCGATATCCCAGAAGGTGAGGAAACTAAGGGCATTGAAAATCTATTCCATGAAATCTTGGAAGAAAACTTTCCAAATCTAGGAAGCATTCAAATATCCAGACCCAAGAAATATAAAGGACCCCTAATAGAATCAATCCAAGATCTTCTCCAAGGCACATCATAGCCAGACTGGTCAAATCTACAGACAAAGACAAGATACTAAAATTGGCAAGAGAGAAACATCAGTTTACTTATAAAGGTTATCCAGTCAGGCTAACCTCAGACTCCTCATCAGAAACAATGCAAGCAAGGAAAGAATGAGAAAATATATTCAAAGTGTTAAGTGAAAAACAGTTTCAACCAAGAATACTATACCCAGTATTATCTTTCATATGGAAAGAAACGATAAACAGACCTGAAAGAATTTGCCAGTAGCAGACCCACTCTTCAAGAAATTTTGAAAGGAGTGCTGTACCAGGAAAATTAAAGACACATGCAGAAATAAGAGAACAAAAGGCAACAAAGAAAATGACCAATTTAATACTAGGGACAAGAAATATCAATAATAATGTTAAATGTTAACTTCCAGGGTTTAAACAGAAAGATCTGACCACAGTAACACTGCTTATTCAATAGAGAGAGTTTGAACATAAGACTGAACTGATGAAGTAGAATTTTATGACTTTTGAGTAAAACATTACTGATTTCTTTTTTCTTTTCTTTTCTTTTTTTACTATGCTTTGTTTTCACAATTTAAACATTTTACTTTCTTTGAGTTGTTGATAGGTTTGGCAATTTTCTTGTTTGTTTCTTTAAATGGAAACAAACTTTTCTTCCTTCCTGAACCCTCTTGAATTGGAAATATTTGGGAGTATTCTTAATATGTGGGTGAAGGGTTATTTGCATAAATTCAATAATGCTTGTTGCATTGAATCAGAAATTAGAAATACTTATTATTGGACAGGGCTTTGACTGGAATGTCATATCTGAAGATTTATTAGAAAACTATCGAACTAAGGTGGATCTCGAGTAAGCCAACAGAAGCTCTTAGAAAGATAGCCTGGCAGAGATGATTAGAGAAGATATTTAAAAGAATTTATAACAGGGGCCAGCAAGTGGCATGGTGGTTAAAGGTTCTGGACTCCACATGGCAGACCTCGGTTCGAGTCCTGGACCTGGCAGCTTGCTTTCTCACTTTCTCTCTCTCTCACTCTGTCCCTCTCTGGTCAAATTAAAATAAATAAATAAATAAATAAAGATAAATAAAATAATTCTTTAAGAAAAAAACAAATTTATAACATAAAATAACCTGGACTTTTCCAGCCCGGCATTGTAATCAGTAGAGATTGCAAAAGAGCAACCACACCAGAGGATTATCTAGAGAAAGACTTTGAAGGAAGAAAAAGAGACTGATCTTTGCTAGCAGATGGTATGTCACAGAATACTTGGTAGGCAGGGCTGAATTAAGACGGTTTATGTGTGACTAGTGTGCTGGGCATTTGCTTTTCAACCATTTGAGTAGTTGACATGTAAATATTTTCTCAAAATACTTAAAACCATACCGTTTCTGTTGTTATAGAGGCAAATCAAGAACTATGGAGTATGGGACCAGCAGTTAGCATAATGGCTATGTTGCTGGACTCTCATGTAGTCGACTGCAGTTCGAATCCTGGAGCCGGTGGCTTAAACTCACACCGGGCACATGTGCATGCGTGCCCAAGATCCCAAGAGGAGAATGGAGGAGAAGGGATTGCAGCATGGACATCCCCATGTCTTTCTGTCTCTCTGTCTTTCTCTGTCTTTCTCGCGAGCACACACACCCTATAGCAAAAACTTCTTTAAAAAAAAAACAACTATGGAGTATGAGCAAAAATTTTTGATATGTGAAGTGTGGAAAAATGTAAAAATAAATGGAAAAAAATGAGATAAAATACAGTCTGTAGTTTAGCTAATAATATTGTGCCAATATTAATTTCCTAGTTTTGACAAGTGGTTACATAACATGTTACCATTGGGGCAAACTAAGTAAAGAATATATGGGAACTTTTGGGCTATCTTTCTAACTTACCTGTAAATTAAAAATGATTGCAAAATAAAATGTTTAAAATCTTTAATACAATACTATTTATATTGAAACATTTTAAAAATCAGTTGTGAGTTATGCCAAAGGCTCATTTAAACTGTAATGCTAAAGTGTAAGATCCTCTAGTGTCACTGAGTTTACCATTAGTCCTGTTTTCCCAATGGCAGAAGTAGTAGTGGTTAGTTCTAGTAATGACTTCTTCTGCATCAGGTCGGGATCATATTCTGGGGTCATTCTGCCTCAAATGGTTTAAGCTGTGCGCTTAAGAGTATTTACTTATTCCTTGAGAGAGTGAAACAGATGAGTAGAAAGAGACAGAGAGAGGTTCCACAACAGTCTTCATGCCATGATCCACCCCTAGTCTCAGTCAGACTGATTAGCAGGCACCCAGAGTATGCAGGGGAGATCCTGGGACCTTTCCATATGGGTCCAGCATTAAAAAGTGTTGTGTTACCATTGTGCCAGTGCAGATTAAAAGACAGTTAGAAGCTTTATTGTTTGGTGGTGAAGAGGGAGGTAACAGCAAAGGAATCAAGACCAAGAGGGATAGCTTTTACATTGTGTATTTCCAAATAATTGCTGTCCTATGTGAAGCATAGAAGACTGTCATTTTGAGATAAGGAAAGGAATTTTAGAAACTATTATGGTCTTAGTGGTTAAAAGAGACTTTTAAGGAGACAACAGGTGGCATGGTGGTTAAGGCACTGGACTCCCACATGGTTGATGGTGGTTCATGTCCCAGACCTGGCTGAGTTTCTCACCTTCTCTCTTCCTATCGCTCTCTCTCGTGAGCACATGTGCCCCATAGGAAAATTTAAAATAATAATAATAAAAATGAAATTAAATAAATTCTTTTTAAAAATTTTAAGATTGGTATGTAGTGAAAGTCATTTAGTATGGCTGTGTACATCTTTCACAGATTGAGGGCGTGAAGAGAGGAGGTGAATGGGGGGGCCTAAGATCCAGCCACTCTGCTCTCCTGCCCAGGCCTAGAAGAGCTAATCTCTTTCTAATTCTAACAAAAGCCCGCTTCAAATGGCAGTTGGATATAAAACTCTTAGCTACGAGACTCCAAGAATCTACCGCCAGAGAGCTGAAGACAAGCTTGTCTTCAACTGCACGTGAGTCTTCTTAAATCACAGATCTTGACATAATTTTCAGTAATACTTTTGAGCCACAGTATTAACATTATTGTTTTCCAGAAGCTTTGGTTAGTGATTACTGAACTCGTCATTGACCTAACAAAATTTCCCCCCAGTTGCGTATTCGCGTTTGATGTCAGTCTGTTGAAGATTTTTTTCAAGTAATGACTCTCGTACTTTTCAGCTTCAATTAGCAAAAATAAATTCCTTCAAGGCATTCACTCTGTACCCTACTGTCCCTTTGCGTCGCATCTTGACAGGATCTCAGTGATTTACTGTTTTACGCCCCCAAGACATAACACCTTTGCTCTTTACCTCCTGCGTCCGACCCTGCGGAAACGCACTATACGACGCATGCGCTTATCCACCCGCCGGTGCAGAAAAAACGCGCGTCGCTTCTGCGCTGACGCAAAAAGGCTGCGCCGGACTCCTGTTGCGGCTGTTTCCGCGAGTTGGACTCCGGTGGCATCGCAGGCATGGTGCATTGCAGTTGCGTGTTGTTCAGAAAGGTCCGTGCGCTGTACCTCAGGCTCAACTGAGTGCTCTGGGTCTCTCTCGTACCCCTTTCTCCTCGCTATTTTCTTTGTTGGAGCCTTTTTCGTACTCGAATTTTTCCATAGCCCTCTTCTCCCTACCTCTCCAAGGAGTTGGGCTTTGTCAGTAAGGTCGGAGAAGGATACCTGACGAGGTTCGGGCTTTTGTTTGGGGGCCAGGTTTGAGATTCATGGCAATTGTGTGCTCTTTGATGAGGAACTGGGGTACCTACTTGTCATTTAGACACACACTGTTTTATGTGTTGTGTAAGGGGACTTTCGAAGGCCTAAATATTGCTTTGTTATTTTCTTTCTAAGTAATGGCCATAGCGTATTACATATTTCCCCCCCACTGGAGTTTTTAAATCTTTCTACTTAAGGCTTTATCTGGAAGCAGAATGTAAGTGACATGCCTTCCTGCAAAACACTTTGATCAGTTGTTTGTAAGGGCTGGTCTCGGGATCTTTTCAGTGAAAAGTTACAGCAGCTCCACAATTTTATAAACCTTATAAGGGCCTTATTAGTCATTTGTTTTGAATACCTGCCTGCATTGTATTTTGGCCATTACGTTATTACTCATGATCAGAGTGAGATTTTCCTTTAAAGTGAGGCTCCTAAATCTGTGAATCTGTTGAATCTAGAGTAGTAAAAAAAAAAAGCCCCATATTGAATGGAACTTCTAAAACTCCTACTCAGAGAAGTATATCAGAGTGGTTAGTATTTCAATATTTTTTAAAAAAAATTTTTTTTCAGACGTTTCTGATATTTAACAACTATCATATGTATCTAAATATGAAAAAAATACGAATTTAAGAAATTGTAAGGTATTTTGATAGCCTGGGAGGTTAATACACAAGATCTGTTCCTACAAGATTTTGAGATAGTGAGGGAAACAGGTGAGCACTAACTGAAGTTTAAGATTTCACAGTGTGCAGTAATAGCGATATAACCAAGTTGCTGAGAGGCCAGTAAAGTCAGGATAAGAGTGGATTCGAGGAATTAAGAAAAGTATCGGGAAAATAAATCCAGGTGGGCTTATGATAGAAAAGAAAATGTGACATTCTAAGTAGAGACATCATGAGCAGAGCAGCATGGAGAGATGGCAGTACCTCATGTAATACAGAGCAAGGAGGAGATAGGAAGAGTTGAACAAATAAAAATGCCATTGGGAGGGTAGATGTTAGAAATTCTAGACCGTTTCATAAACAGTTAAAAAAAAAAAGATTACTTTTAAGTAGGGAAGGACCGTGATTAGAGATCAGATTCATTTCAGAAAAAGCTCAGGAAACAAGAGGAAGGTTCATGAAGAGAATGACTAGAGAAAGAACATTTACTAGGTAAAGTATTGGTCAAGGTACTAGGATAGTGGTACTGGAAAGATAAGAGCTGGCTTCCGGAAAAGAAGCAAGTGTACTCGCAAGATTTTCTTTTGTGCAGTCTCAGTGAATGGGTGAACTATGATTCCATTAATTGAAAGCTTATCAAAGAACAGATTTTGCCTGGGGAAAAGTTTGATTTTATAATGTTAACATTTTGTTTTTGACATGACCATTAATACATTCAACTGATAATCTACAAACTTATTTAAGGAATTTCAAGTATAAATTTAATACAGGTCCTGCTCTTTTGCTTTAAACTGTTAAAAGTGTATATTCCTGGTGGAGCTGCTCAACAGATTGGACATAGAAGATATTTCACTCAGGGTGTAGTTATTGACTAAGAGCCTCCAGAGAAGAAAGTGTAGAGTGAAAGGCTCTGGTCAGAGACCCAGAAGGTAGATGGGACAATAACTGATAATGGGGAGCGGGATGGAGCATCTTAAGAGAGATAATCAAATGGAAAAGGGAGGTCAGACTGGAGATGAGCTAAAAAAAAAAAAGCTGTAGAATTGTAGTACAGAAAGCCATAAGTAATTTTTAAAAATAACTGTTTATTTAATTCCATTTGTTATTATTATTCTTTAATTTGAGCAGAGAAAGAGAGAGGGAAAGTGAGAAAGCCAGTCGCCAGGTCCGAGACTCCAACAGCAGTTGGCCATGTGGGAATCTAGCACCTTTAACCACCACGCCACCTGCCAGCTCCCAACCATAAGTAATTTTTAAAAATAAATTTTAGTGGAACTAGGAAGTACTAAGCTGATAAACACATTTGGTATACACATGTTTTCTCTCTTTTTTTTTAAGTATGGAAATTTCATCGATAACCTGAGACTCTTCACCAAAGGAGGCAGTGGTGGAATGGGTTATCCGCGTTTAGGTGGAGAAGGTGGAAAAGGTGGTGATGTCTGGGTTGTAGCCCATAAAAAAATGACTTTAAAACAACTTAAAGACAAATATCCTCAGAAACGGTTTGTGGCTGGAGTGGGAGCAAACAGTCGGTAAGTACTTAATGGACGACTTTAATCTTTACAAATCATAACCTCCTGGAGGACAAAAAAATGCATAAGATAACACCTTAGTTGATAATTTAAAGTAAATTACAAATACCTGTGTTTGTAGCTGAACAAAAGTCTGAAATATTTCAACTCATAAATGTCTAGTACAAGAATACTTCAGTTTTTAAACTTTTTTTATTTAAAAAAATAAGTTTTTTATTTAAACTTATTTTTCCTTGTCTCAATATCTATCTGTATTTTTGGTACTTCCTCTGTAAAAATAGAAATAATCAGAATCTCCACTGTTTTCTTTTTTTATTATTCTTATTTTTATTTATTTATTTTAAACATTGGAGTGCTATACATCATTTGGCTTGTAAAGAGAATTTACCAAACATGAAATGCTTCTCAGACCAATCCAGTGGAGAATACTATACACATTATCATTAACAGGTAATAAACCATTTCTTTGTCCCACGAATGTCATGCCTCTCTGTTTGTCCTCTTGCTATCCTTCTCTATACTCTTCCCTTCTCCTGCCCCACTCCATATTGTCTTCAGCATCCATAACTATTTTCACTGCTTTTATGTCCTCCAATATTTCAGACTCTATCATAAAGTGCAGATAGTTGGTATATATTAAGTGAATACATAAAATTTCTTTCTTTCATAGCCTGGCTTGCTTCACTCAGCAATAAATCTTTCATATTCAACCACTTTCAATCAAATGCCAGGGTCTTGTTTTTTATGACTGAGTAGTATTCCATAGAGTACATGTGCCACACTTTTTCAATCCATTCATCTGTTCATGGACATTTGGATTAGTTCCATGTCTTAGCAATCATAAATAATGCTGCAATAAACATAGATGCACAAGCACTTTCCTGACTGAGCATTCTCCTGTCCTTTGAATAGATACCCAAGAGTGGAATTGTTGGATCACATGGTAGTTCTATTTGTAGGTCTTTGAGGAACCCCCATATTGTTCTCAGTGACTGGACCAATTTATATTCCCACCAACAGTGTAGGAGAGTTCTCCTTTCACCACAGCCCCACCAGCACTTGCCATTTTTTGTTTCCTTAATCTTTGCCATTCTGATAAAGGTTAGGTGGTATCTCATTGTGGTTTTGATCTGCATCTCCATTATGATGAGGGATGTTGTGCATTTTTTCATATGCTTTTTGGTTGTTCATATGTCTTCCTTAGAGAGTTGTTTGTTCAGCTCATTTTCCTATCTATTATTTGGGTTAGTTTCTCCCCCCCCCTCCCTCAGGTAAACTGCTTGAGTTCCCTGTGTATTCTGGTTATCAGTCATACTTTTATCTGAGGCATAGTTAGACTTCCTTAGTTAGATACCTAGGGAGGTATCTTATACATTTTTGGCTATGGTAAAAGAGATTCCTTTCTTCAGATCTACCTTGTTCAACTTGTTGTTCGTATATAGAAATGCTATAGATTTTTGGATGTTGATTTTGTATCCTGACACTTTACTGTATTCATTTATTACTTTGAAAAGTTTTTTCATGGAAACTTTTGGGTCTTCTAAGTATTCCATCATGTGATCTGCAAATAAAGAGATTTTCAACTCTTTGCTTATTTGAATGCCTCTTATATTATTCTCTTTTCTGATTGCATTGACTGAGACTTCAAGCACCTTATTGAAGAGGAGAGGAGAAAGTGGGCATCCTTGTCTATGTCAGTGACATAGCTATTACGCTAACTGCTGGTCCCTTGATTTTGTTCATCTTTTTGAACAACCAGTTTTTGCTTTCATTTATGTTCTAAATAGTTCATTTGTTTTCTATTTCATTTATTTCTGCTCAAATCTTTCTTTCTTTTCTCCTGGCATTTTTGTTGTTATTTTTGTGGTTGTTGTTTTTCCAATTCCCTGAGACATGATGTTAGGTTGTCTATTTGCCACCTTTACATTTTTTTCTTATGTGCACTAATTTCTATGAATTTCCCTCTTATTACTGCTTTTGCTGTGTCCCACACAAATTATGGATTCTCATGTACTCGTTATCATTTGTGTCCATAATTTTTTTTTAATTTTAGACTTAATTTCTTTGCTAGTTAAGATGCCATTCAGAAGTAGGTTGTTTAGGTTCTGTGTGTTTGTGTATTTTTGAGGATTTTTCTTCAAAATAATGTCAAGTTTAATTCCATCATGGTTAGAGAAGGTGCTGGATATAGTTTCATTGCCTTTGAATCTGTAAAGGCTTGATTCATGTCCTCTCATATGGTCAATCTTTGAAAAGGTTCCATACAAGGGTAAGAAAAATATATATTTTGTGGTCTTAAGGTGCAAAGTTTATAGATGTCAAGCCCGTTTGATTTATAGTATCGTTTCGGTCTTTCATCTCTCTGCTTATTTTTTTGTATAGAAGATCTGTCTAAAGGAGATAATGGGATGTTGAGATCCCCAACAATTATAGTGTTGCAATCTATCTCTCCTTTTATAAGTGTTATGTCTTCTTGATGAATTAGCCCATTTACTACTATATAATAATGCCCTTCTTTGTCTCTTACAGTTTTTTGTTTTGTTTTGTTTTGTTTTTTTGGAGAGGTTTTTGCTATAGGGTGCGTGCGCTCACCAGAGACATAGAGACAGAAAGTGAGAAATCACCCCCCAGGGGGGATGGTCACGCCGCAGTCCCTTCTCCTCCATTCTCCTCTCGGGATCTTGGGCATGCACACACACGCGTCCGGCATGATTTCTAAGCCACCGGGTCCGGGACACGAACCATGGTCGACTACATGGGAGTCCAGCGACATAGCCATTATGCTAACTGCTGGTTCTCTCTCTTACAGTTTTTGTCTTAAAGCTCATTTTGTCTGAAATCAGTATCGCAACTCCAGCCCTTTTTTTCTCTTTTTTGGACACACGCACATGTGCCCAGAGTGATTTTTTTTTTTTTTGGAGAAGTTTTTGCTATAGGGTGTGTGCGCTCGCCAGACAGCGAGAGAGACAGAGAGACAGAAAGCAAGAAATCACCCCCCAGGGGGGATGGCCATGCCGCAATTCCTTCTCCTCCGTACTCCTCTCAGGATCTTGGGCACACACGCACACACGCCCGGCGTGAGTTTTAAGCCACTGGGTCTGGGACGCGAACCGCGGTCAACTACATGGGAGTCCAGCAACATAGCCATTACGCTAACTGCTGGTCCCACTCCAGCCTTTTTTTGATTTCCGTTTTCATGGAGTATCTTTTTTCACCCCTTTACTTTTAGTCTATGTATGTCTTAGAGGGTTTCTGATTTTTTATCCATTTGGCCAGACTGTGTCTCTTGATTGGAGAATTTAATAGACTAACATTCAGTGTTGTTATCAATATTTCCAGACATGTTCCAATCATTAAGTGAGCCACTTTCTTGTTTTTTCTTTTTTTTTTCCTGTTACATTTGTCTATCTGACTTTTTAGTTTTCCTGACATAGCACTCCCTTCAGAACTTCTTGAAGAGCTGGTCTGGAGTTGGTAAATTCTTTCAGGTTTTGTTTATCTGAGAATGTTTTTTTATCTTTTTCTCCCATGTGAAGTATAATTTTGCTGGGTATCGTATTCTTGGTTGAAACTGTTTTTCATTTAACACTTTAACTATATTTCCCCATTTCTTCCTTGCTTGCATTGTTTCTGGTGAGAGGTCCAATGTTAGCCTGATGGGATAACTTTTCTAAGTGACTTGGTGTTTCTCTCTTGCAATTTTATTATCTTGTCTGTGTCTGTGGTTTTGGTCAATCTGACTATGATGTGCCTTAGAGAAGATCTTGGGGGTGATTCTGTTTTGGGTCTTATACATTTCTTATGTCTGGATATTGAGTACCTCTCTAGGTTTGGAAAGTTTTCTTCCAGGAATAAATTATCAATGCCCTTATGATTGTCTTCCTCTTCTGGGATACCAGTTATCTGGATGTTTGGGCACTTGATTCTGTCTAGTAGTTCTCATATATTATCCTCATTTTTCTTGGTTGTTTTCTCATTCTTTTTGATAATTTTTTATAAGTCAGAGGCTTTGTCTTCTACGAATTTGAGATTTGATCTTCTACATGATCTAATCTACTTTTAATACTTTCAAGGGAAGTTTTAATTTCATGTATCACATTCTTCACCCTAACAACTGTTTGATTTTTTTTTTTTTTTATGGTGTCTATTTCTTTCACATTGTGAAGGAACTTTCTCATCTCTTGGAGCTCGCTGTCTCTTTTCTCTTATATCTCATTTAGTTTGGTCACTGTAAATATTCTGAATTGTTTATCCCTAATTTCCCTGAATTCCACTGTGTTGTCTGTGGGTGACAAGGAATTGATGTTTTTCCTTAGGAGAGAGACATTTTGTGGATTGCTCATATTTCTTTGCCTCTGCAATAGTTTGTAGTCATCTGGTGATCTATATGTTCCTTCCTAAAGTCTTCAAGGTATCTCTGAGCATTCAAAGGCCTGCAGGAGTAGGTCATTTGCGATCTCTCTTCTACTCTACCTCCCCATTGTTCACCAGCACCTTGCACTGTTGTCACTGGTCCCAGGTAACCCAAAGTCCTCCCTGATCCTAGAGAACAGGTACGCCTGAAACTGAGGTGCTGAGTTTCAGTTCAGAAACAATAAAGAGATCACACAACATGTATTGTGCTCCATGTGCTATAGAAAACTCTGAAGTCCTGAGAGTTCAAAAGTGAGTAGGGGAGGGGGGTGAGCCATGGGTCCCAGTTGTAAAGCCTTGTAGTCGCAGGTTGCCTGCCATATGGCAAGGCCCTTTGCTGGGATAGGTATCTAGATGGGGCTGGGAGGGGCATAAGATCATCTCAAAGTCCCAAGCAAGGAACCTTAGAGTTCCTCACTTTTTTCTCCTAAAATTATCTTTGGTAGTCTTTTGGAAACATTTCTCAAATCTCAATCATGCTTCTCTACCACACCACCATCCAGAATCAATTACAGAGGCCCAGCTGTGGTAGCATGTACTTGTAGATACTGCCACTAAGCAGGCTAAGGCCACATGGGATTCCAGAGCTCAGTTCTTGGGCCACCTTAAAAGCAGGGTTGGTGGTGTGTACCTATAGTATCAACTACTTGGAAGACTGAAGCAGGAGGATTGCAGCATAGTGAGACTGTCTTTAATAAGTTAGGCTCAGCCTCAGTGGTACAGATTGTCACATACTGAACTGCAATACTGGAAGCTACATGGTGACAGTAAGTTCCGATCCTGAGTTGATCTGAAAATACATTGGATGTGTCTGTGTGTGCCCTAAAGAACTGGAGGGTTAGGAAAGAAGATTGCAGGAGACTGTAGAGAACACCTGCTTAGGGTGTTCCACCCTGAATAAAAAAACTTTAAAAAAAAAAGTGAACTACCTATAATTTTTCCCCCTAAATATAACCACTATTAACTTTTTCTTGATTTTTCTGGCTTTCTGTGTGTTTACACAAATAATTCTGTATATGTATATAAAATTTGGAGATAAAAAATGAGAGCACATATTTACAACCTTCTCTTTTAACTTTACATTTTTTCATGTCAGAAAATTATTCAGAATGGCTTCATAATATATTATCAGAAATAACGGTTTATTTTGCCATTTGTCTACTTGAGTTATGGTTAATTTGTTAATTTTTTTTCCTGTTAGAACCACAGTGCAGCATCCATGTGTAGATATTATTTTGCATGGTTACTCAATTTTTTAAATTTATTTTTAAACTTATCTTTCTACTATTTAAATGTTTATTTATTTATGCCAGAGTGCACATGAAAGAGAGATCACTCTCCCAACAGAGCCTGGTTATGTCAGTCTCTTTTTCTCTCCAACTTGCTATCCTGTCAGGATTCTGGGTTTACATATACACACACCCAGCATGCTTTTAAAAATTTAGTGCATTTTTCTTATTTTAATTTAGCCTTTTTTTTTTTGGTAGAGTTAGTGCACTAAAAGGCTCCAAAGGAAAAGACTGTGAAATCCCTGTACCTGTGGGTATTTCAATAACTGATGAAAACGGTAAAATTATAGGTGAGTATACTCTAATTTCTAAAGTTATGAAAAATGTGAACATTTGATAAAATTGTTTAGAAATTTTGTGGAATAGGTTCTCTTGAATTTCAGGAGAAATTTTTTTAACATTAACGATTTCATTTTCTGATTTACCAAAAAAACTTTCTGAAACATATAAAAGTTGTTGAAATTACTAAATTTAAGATTATGTTAAAGATACAAGAGTAATGTTTTAAAACATATATCTAGGTACCTTTCAGCTGCTTAGAATATATTTTTCTAGGGTCAAACTTTTTTTTTTAAGATTTAGTATATCTAACTTTACTTATTTTTATTTATTTATTTATTATGTATTTATTTTGATTTGACCAGAGAAGGACAGAGTGAGAGGTAGGGTGCCGGAGAATAAGAAAGCCAGCTGCCAGGTCCTGGACTAGAACTATGGTTGGCCATGTGCAAATCTGACGCCCTTAACCACCATGCCACCTGATGGCCCCTAGGGTCAGACTTTAAATGGCAACTTAATCTTGCTTTTTAACCCTTTAGATTTTTGAATTGCAACTTCTTGGCATCTATTTCTGAAAGAAAAATGATTATATTAGTGATTTCACTTAGTAATCATTGCTGTAATTCTCTGGTTCTTTTTAAGGAGAACTCAATAAAGAGGAAGACAGAATTTTAGTCGCTGAAGGAGGTCTTGGTGGTAAACTGCTTACAAATTTTTTACCATTGAAAGGCCAGAAACGAATAATTCACCTTGATCTAAAACTTATAGCTGATATAGGCCTAGTTGGGTAAGTATCATTCATATTTTTACTATTATATTTTCAAAGAGACAATTCATGAATAGAAAATAAATGTAAATGATAAATTATTTCTAGTTTAGTAGGTTATATATTTTATATTGTAGTTTAAGTATATGCCATTAGATACAGTTATTTTCAGATTGTCAACAGAGTCTCATAGTTATTGAAAAGAAGATTAGAATAATATATAGGTCATAGAATATTAGAGAATGAAAAAAGAAAGAAAATTCAATGAATTGCAATATTATATGAAGGTTAAAGAACCTTGCTACATGGGAGTCCAGCATCTTAACAACCACACCACCTGCTGACCTCTATTTATTTTTTTTAGTTTTGCTATAGGACTTGTGTTTGCTGAAGAGAGACAGAAGGAGAGAGGGAAAATGAGAAATCACCCCATATTGGGGTGGCCACGCCACAATCCTTTCTCCTCCATTCTTTTGGAATTTTGGGCATGCATGCACACATGCCCAGCATGATTTTTCAAGCCCTCAGGTCTAAGACTCAAAGTATACAGTTGGCCATGTGGCACTCGGCTGCCTTAACCTCTGCACCACTTACTGGTATATTGTCCTCCTACCTCAGCCTCCCAGCTTGGACTACAGATATATGCCACTGTGTCTAGATTTTAGGTTAGGCCAGGAATCAAGCCCAAGCATCTCATCTGGCCCCAGCCTATGGAACATAGCATCTTAGCAGTACATGCCACTGTGGCTAGGCCTAAACATATGTTTTAATGTGCTATTTCCTCATCTAGAGGAAATCTACACTAATAAAGAGATTTAAGATGTATACAAAAGTTCAAGTATAGTTACAGTATTTTTTTAAAGATTTTAGGAAGACATTAGATGAATATTATTTACTAAGAAAAAATAATAGTTGTCTATTAATCCCACTATTCAGAGATGACTGGTAACAGTATGTCTTTCTAGCTATAGACATATTTTTGTAATGTTATTTATGGGGGTGAAAAATTAGAAAATAAGAAATTGGTTAAGTAAATAAATAACATTTCACATTTCATGAAAGGTGTTCAACTTGGTTAAAATAGGCCAACTTAGTATGAAGTAGGCTTTAAAAGAAAAAAGTCAGACCTGAATGTGATCAGGATTTTACAATTATCAAGTTACAGAAAATCCAGGTTAAGAAAGCATGTTAAGTGATACTATGTAGATGTCAGTAGAAAAAACTACTGTGGAAAAGAAATCTAGGACAAATGACTCAATTTCTTTAAAATAAAATTAGAGGGGCCTGACAGGTGACATGGTGGTTAAGGTGCTGGACTCCCACATGGCCAACCACGGTTTGAGTCCCAGACCTGGTGGCTTGCTTTCTTACTTTTCTCTTCTCTCACTCTCTCTTTGTCTCTTTGGTCAAATTAAAAAATAATAGTAACAATAAATAAAATTAAATAATTTTAAATAAATAAAAATAAAATTGGAAAAGAGAAACAAGATGGAAAGGGAATTACAGCAAGAGATATAAGGGACATATCCAGTTGTAATATACAGACCTTATTTGGTTCCCTGTTCAAACAAACTGAAATTTTAAAAATGTTTCGGCCATGTATTAGTATTTGTTGAAGTCAGGTAATAATTAAATGGAATTCACTACTCCTGTCTACTTTTGTATGTTTGAAATGTCCAGAAAATGTTTTTGTTCCATTTTTTAAAACTTGCTAGAGAGTATGTACACTCACCTGTGAGAGAGACACACAGAAAGAATGAGAAAGCATCCCAATGGAGCACAATCAAACCACAGTCCCTTCTACCCCTATTTCTCTTTTCTAGATTTTGGGCATGTATACATACACACTGCCAAGTTTTTCAGCCCACTGAGGACAGAACTCAGTACAATTTGTCATGTGGAATCCAGCTACCTAACCACCTTGCTGCCAGCTGGCCCTATTATTTATTTATTTATGTTTTAAATTTATTTATTCTAACCCCAATGAGTTTCAACACCACTATCTATACCAGTTTCTAGCCAGCCCTGGATCATGGGCAAGCTTGTACCTGGCATACTTAGGGTGGTCTCCTGACTTGAACCAGGAAACTTATATGGGATTGCCTCTCAAGAGTGTTGAATTTTACCGGTGTGTCATTGTCTGACCCAGAATTTTTTTTTTATTTTTTAAGTAAAAAAATCAATTCACAAAATAATATTTTGGCAGCATTTGACTATAGATAATGGATTGTACTTATTTTTTCTCCTTTTAAATTAGTTCCTTTTTTCAATGATTTCCATTTTTTTTAATAATCAGAATAACAATTATTTTATTCTCTCAGTACTGAAGTATCTTTAATGTCCAGCATGAATTATCTTTGCCTTTTTAATAAATAGCTTTGGTTCTTAAAATTTTCAAACTTATTTACTACTACTAATTTTATTATTTCTAAATAAATATTCAAAAGTCTGCTTCTTGAATTGTGAGGAACTCAGGAAGATAAGTAATAATATTGATATTTGTTGTAATGTATAATTTAATATTCTCATTTTAGATTCCCAAATGCTGGAAAATCTTCTTTGCTAAGTCGAGTTTCTCATGCAAAACCTGAAATTGCAGATTATGCATGTAAGTATAATTTGATTATTTATTTATTTAAATTTATTTATTTACAATAATTCTGTACATTTATTTACAATAATACTGTACATCATTACAGTATACAAAATGAGATTTTCCTTCCAGAATACACTGTATATTGGCTCAATCAATTGCCATGTATGTTATTGTCAACAAGTAAATGTTTCCTATATATTTTACTTTTCTTTTCCCCTTGATTCCCTACCTCTCACCTGCTGCCATTACCCACCTTCACAAACTGTCAGTTGCCTTACATTTCCCTTTTTTCCCCCTCATTTTATTGATTCACAAAAGATCATAATTAACCTAAATACTTTCAATAGGAAGTACAACTGATATATACATATCTGTGAACATATGTCTGACTTCAGGCATAAACCTCAGTGAGTAGAACAAATATACTATAAAGTGGTACCTAGCTGGGGCTATATAGGACTATGTAGCTTACTGTAGTCATTAAATAGGGTTTTTTTCTAATGAATTTTTTAATTTCAAGAAAAACAGTTTTAGTTTTAATAGATCAAAATAAAAAATTGTTAAGAGAAATTTCCTTAAGACATAAAGTCAGGGGACCAGCATTTAGTGTAATGGCTATGTCTCTGGACTCCCATGTAGTCGACCATGGTTCGAGTCCCAGACCCGGTGGCTTAAACTCACGCTGGGCGGGTGATATCTTGCTTTCTGTCTCTGTTTCTCTGTCTTTCTGGCAAACTCACATGCCCTATAGCAAAAATCTCTCCAAAAAAAAAAAAGTCAGGAAAAAGGTTAGGATTCAGTTCAAGCAGTAGGTAGAAGAACCTATCAATAGTTTAAGAGAAGACAAAAATCCTTAAATCTGGAAAACAAATATAGAAAACCAGTAATGTAGGACCAGCAGTTTGCATAATGGCTATGTCGCCGGACTCCCAAGTAGTCAACCTTGGTTCGAGTCCTAGACTTAGTGGCTTAAACTCACACTGAGTGCATGTGCGTGTGCATGCATGCCCAACATCCCAAGAGGAGAATGGAGGAGAAGGAACTGAGGCTTGGCCAACCCTCCAGGCGGTGATTTCTCACTTTGTCTCTCTGTCTCTCTGTCTCTCTCTCTGTGTTTCTGTCAAGCGCACACCCCCTATAGCAAAAATCTCTCCAAAAAAGAAAAAAGAAAATCAGTAATGTTTTAGTCAAAACTCCTAAAATTCTATTTCACCAATTCAATCTCATGTAATTAATCTCTCTTCTGTTGAATTTACAGTGTTTCTGTGGTCCTTTTCATTTAAATTTTGGAAGTTACCATTCAAAGTTATTATTGATCTTTCCAGACTTATCCCTACCATTAAGTTGGCCATTCTCTTGGTTGTTTTTTGTACTCTTATTTCTCTGTGTCTGACTTTAGTTCTCCTGGGATAGCACTCCCTTCAGAACTTCTTGAAGAGCTGGTCTGATATTGGTAAAGTATTTCAGATTTTGTTTATCTGAGAATGTTCTTATCTTTTCTTCCCATATGAAGGATAATCTTGCCAGGTGCAGTATTCTTGGTTGAAAGTGCTTTTCCCTTATCACTTAGAATATATTTTCCCATTCTTTCTTCGCTCATATTGTTTCCGATGAGAGATCTCCTATTAGCCTGATGGTATATCCTTTGTAGGTAGCTTGCTGTTTCTCTCTTGCCAATCTCAGTATCTTGTCTTTGTCTGTAATTTTGATCATATGGCTATAATGTGCCTTGGAGAAGATCTTCTTGGGTTGATTCTATGTGGGGTCCTTTGTATTTCTTGAGTCTGGATATTTGAGTGCCTCTCTAAGTTTGGAAAGTTTTCTTCCAGGATTTCATGGAATAGATGATCAATGCCCTTAATAGTTTCTTTACCTTCTGGGATACCAATTATCTGGATGTTTGGGCATTTAATGGCATCTAGTATTACTTCTGTATTATTCTCATTTTGGGGAGTTATTTTCTCAGTCTTTTTGGTGAATTTTTCTAGGTCAGAGGTTCTGTCTTCTACATCTGAAATTTGATCTTCTGTAAGATCTAGTCTGCTTTTAATAGTTTCAGGAGAGGTTTTGATTTCCTGTATTACAGCCTTCATCTCTAACAATTCCATTTGTTTTTTATGGTGTGTATTTCCTTTTTCAGATTGTGCAAGAACTACCTCACCTTGTGGAACTTGTGTGTTTTCTTCTGCATCTTCTGGAGTTCATTGTCTCCCTTCTCTTGCATTTCTATTAGCTTTATCACTATGAATATTCTAAATTATTTATCTGATATTTCCATGAGTTCCATTGTATTGTCTGTGGAGGATGAGGAGTTACTCTTTTCCCTTGGAGATGATGACTGTGGTCATCTAATGAATTATACTTCTTTTCTAATTTTTGGAGTTAGCTCTGAGCCTTCAGAGGCATACAGGAGGAGGTGATCTGCAGTCTCTTTGCAGTACCATTTTTCTCCCTTTGTGCAGCAGGTTCTATGGTAATTGAGGATTATAGTGATCCTAAAAGTATTCAGATATTTGGCTGCTGTGCACTTCTAAAAACTCAGTGTGTGGAGGCTGAGCAGAAAAGTGAGAAAGGGAAAAGAAAAAGGAAAAGAAAACAAATAAAAAACAAGACAAAAAAATTAAATAAAAAAATTTTTTAAAGCAATAAATGAAAGGGGCCACTCAGAGCTCAAATGGTGGTTGGCCTATATCCTATGTGGGAGGGGGAAACGTGAGAATTAGGAAGATAAAGGAGTCAAACCTAAGAAGAAGTTTAAAAATTAAAAAAAAAAAAAAAATACAGAGAATACAGAGGTGCTCTACTGGCTAGATCTTAGGGTTAGGAGGGTGAAGTCTGTGCAGAAAATCTTCAGTTGTCCTAAACCCTGAAAGAGACCTCTGAGAACTCAAGTGTAGATGGCTTGTGATTGACCTGTCCTGGCTAGAACTTGGGGTCAGGAGGATGAAATCTGGGCAGAAAATCTTCTGTTGTCCTGATTGTGTATTTTAATGTGTGGAAGTAAACTTTAAAGACTAATTTTCCCTGAGTATGTATAAAATGACAACTCAGTTTGAAAATTTGGTAAAATACTTACTTTTCCTTCTTTCTTTCTTCTTCTCTCTTTTTTTTTTTTTTTTTTAGAGGTTTTTGACATAGGGCGCATGTGCTCTCCAGAAAGACAGACAGAAAGCCAGAAGTCATCCTCCAGGGGGGATGGCCACACCACAGTCCCTTTTTCTCCATTCTCTCGGAATCTTGGGCACGTACACATACACACCTGGTGTGAGTTTAAGCCACCAGGTCTGGGACTGGAACCATGGTAGATTACATGGGAGTCCAGCAACATAGCCATTAAGCCAACTGCTGTTCCCACTTGCTTTTCCTATTAATCTTTTAGACTTCTGTATCCCTAACCAAAGTTTCTTGTACTTGTGAGATACTTATATTTTTGCATTCAGTTTAATAATCATTTATTTGACTTAGTTAGAATTTTATAGCCATCCATCCTTTATGAAGAGGATCAGAATCAATACTTTCACTCATTAAGCAAACATTTATTTCTAGGATCTACATTAGTTCTGGGGTTACAAAGACTAGTAAGCAGAAACAGCTACTGTTCTGACTTGTATTGAGCTTTCAGAATAGTGAGGAAGGCATATGTCACTAAAAAATATAAGGGAATTCAAAAGGGTTCTATGAAAGTTTTCATTGAACTATGGAGAATAATTATGAGTTAATAGCAGAGGGATTGTGTAGTGTGTGTGTCTAGAGAACATGAAGTAAGGGGAAGGGAAGTGAGATGAAGCTGGAGATGTAATTAGAGACTATATTACATAGACCACACAGGCCATATTTGATCTTTATATCTTAAGAGCAATTGGAAGCACTTAAACAAAGGTACAGTAATTAGATTTACTTTTCAAAAAAATTCTCTGCCTATAGTGTAGAAAATGAATTGTTGTGGGTAGGACATCAATGGATCTGAGACCAATTAGTACATTATTGCAGTAGCTAGAGGAGCCATAAAGGAAGCTTAGGTTAAGAGTTAATGAGTGGAGGGACCAGCAGTTAGCGTAATGGCTATGTCGCTGGACTCCCACGTAGTCGACTGTGGTTTGAGTCCCGGACCAGTGGCTTAAAACTCACGCCAGGCACGTGTGCGTGCGTGCCCAAGATCCCGAGAGGAGAATGGAGGAGAAGGGATTGTGGCGTGGCCATCCCCCCTGGGGAGTGATTTCTCGCTTTCTGTCTCTCTGTCTCTCTCTGTCTGTCTGGCGAGCGCACACACCCTATAGCAGAAACCTCTCCAAAAAAAAAAAAAAAGAGTTAATGAGTGGATATAATAGTATCTCTGCCATCCTAAAAGAAAGTCACAAAATGGCAATACAAAACAAAGTCAAGCCATTCTAAACTTAGACTCCAATGAAGTAAATTTTGGACTAATTGCTCTAAATGACATCGCAAATTTTACATAGGAGTCTTGGGAATGAAAAGAAAACAAGCAGAAAGTCTTATGAAAGAGGCCATTGGGACCAGCAGTTGGCATAATGATTATGTCGCTGGATTCCCATGTGGTCGACCACGGTTCAGGTCCTGGACCCGGTGGCTTAAAAACTCACGCTGGCCATGGTGGTTGGCCTATATCCTATGTGGGAGGGGGAAAGGTGAGAATTAGGAAGATAAAAGAGTCAAACCTAAGAAGAAGTTTAAAAATTAAAAAAAAAAAAAATACAGAGAAATACAGAGAATCCTTTCTCCCGAGAGGAGAAGGGATTGCCGCATGGCATCCTCCCTGGGGTGTGGGGGTGATTTCTTGCTTTCTGTCTCTCTGTCTCTCTGTGTCTTTCTGCTATAGACTCTATAGCAAAAACCTCTCCCCCCCACCAAAAAAAAAGAAAGGGACCATTGTAGAATTGGTAAGACTTAACTAGTCAGGGATGACTAGAAACATTTCATTCACAGACCCCTTGATAGAAATCTATAGATTTTGAGCTCCCCAGACATCATTACCATGTTTCTTAACTTGCAACAGAGGAACTTAGAGGCTCAATAAAGCAATTAAGCCTATGCCTAATTGTAAATCATAAGTAGATTATAAATACCTTTGTCCTTTTCCAAGTAAATTGTAAATATTGAAGATAATCATAGCTTTGATTTCAACAAATTAGAACTAAATCTGAATTAAACTATTCACAAAACAAATGGTATACTGTGTGTTATCTTAACACAATTTTTTGAGTACCAATCTTTATTTTAGCTTTTTTACTGTTTTTCCTTTAGTTACAACACTAAAGCCTGAACTTGGAAAGATTATATACAATGATTTCAAACAGGTGGGTATTTTTTAATTAAAGCACTTGATTAGAAGTGCAAGTAATTGGTTTTACTACTTTTTTTTTTTATAATATTTGCCTATTTTGGTGGTGTTAAAGGAAGAAAAGCAACAAGATTTTGTTTTATACTAAGTGAAACTGGGATCAGTTTTACTGTCATGGTAAAACATGTAAGAATTCACTTTCTTGTTCTTCCAAAGATTAAATCTAGATTATTCCTATGACATCCTGTCTTCCTTATCTCTTTAATCTGTTTCTTCTCATTGCAAGTCCATATTTTACTACTATATTTGATTATTAGTATTCCTTTATTAAATATTTTTTATTCTTAGTACATTATTGTACTGTAACGGTATCTTGCCTTTTCAAAAATGTATTGATGGGGCCAACAGGTGGCATGGTGGTTAAGGGTGCTAGACTCCCACATGGCCAACCATGGTTTGTGTCCTAGATCTGGTGGCTTGCTTTCTCACTTTCCCTCTTTCTCTTTCTTGCTCTGTCCCTCTCAGGTCTGAGTGAATGAATGGATGAATGAATCAATCAATCTATCAATGTCATTAAAAAATGTATTGGTAGTCATAAATTAAGAGCTGTTTATATTTTGAAATATTGTGAAAATTTTTTAATGTAACTAAACTTGTAGTTTTCATATATTTTTGTTTTTAATCAGTCCATTTAACTTTGTATTAGATATCAGTAGCTGATCTTCCAGGTTTAATAGAAGGAGCACATATGAACAAAGGAATGGGCCACAAATTCCTTAAGCATGTCGAAAGAACTAGACAACTCCTTTTTGTTGTAAGTTATATGCATGCTAATGTAATGTTGCAATGAATGTGACAATCAATTAATTTAATTTTTCTAAAAAATTTTTATAAGTAAGATTTAAAGATAAAGTGGTAGCATATATTGTACTGCCCTCTGTTCACATGTTGGCCAAATACAGTAAATATAATGTGGGGATGGAAATAGCACTGTTTACTATAAGAGATGTAAGTTTGGCCATACTTGTCAAGTTTTAATTCCTTAAGATTTCTGATGTAGGGAGCAGGAGGTGACTTTATGGTAAGGTGTTGGACTCCTACGTGGCTGACTGTGGTTTGAATCCTGGGCCTGGTGGCTTGAAAATCACACTGATTGTGGGTGTGTGCATGCCCAAAATCCTAGGAGGAGAATGGCGGAGAAGAGACTGTGACATGGCCATCCCCCCGGGAGGGGATGATTTCTCACTTTCCTTCTCACTGTCTTTTTCTTGTCTGGTGAGCACACGCAACCTGTGGGAAAAACCTTAAAAAAATAAAAGAAAAGAAAATCTATAACAGTATTTTCTATTAAAATTTTTAAATTAAATGTACTTTTATTATTATTACTACTAATAATAATTTGCTATACAGTACATGTGCTCCAATTCAAATTTAACATTATAGAAAAAGAAATTATTTCTGATATACTATTATGTAGTATTTCTTTCATACTTTATTGATGGTGCTAAACTTATATATGAGATTGTCTGTATTATTAAAAATTATCTGTACTAGTTTCTGATTTTTTTAATGACTATCATTTGAACAGAACAATTATAGTTACCTTGGCACCTCAATTTTTGTTACGTATTTTGAATTACTAAATTATCTATAGAGTATAGATTGAGAAATTGCTTTTAGCATGAGAGAATAAAACATTTCCAAACAGAAATATCTAACCTTTTTATATTAAAGACTTTCTCTTTCCTCCTCCTTTTTTTTTTTTTTTTAGGTTGATATTTCTGGATTTCAGCTTTCTTCAAAAACTCATTATAGAACTGCTTTTGAAACCATAATACTGCTTACAAAAGTAGGTCTTCTGTTTTACTGTGTTCTGTATTTGGACTAATATACATGTGGGACTATATAAAATAACATACTAATTACAGTAAATACATCCTCCACCTTACTTTTAAAAAGAAATGATCAGTTTTACTGTCATGGTAAAACATGTAAGAATTCACTTTCTTGTTCTTCCAAAGATTAAATCTAGATTATTCCTATGACATCCTGTCTTCCTTATCTCTTTAATCTGTTTCTTCTCATTGCAAGTCCATATTTTACTACTATATTTGATTATTAGTATTCCTTTATTAAATATTTTTTATTCTTAGTACATTATTGTACTGTAACGGTATCTTGCCTTTTCAAAAATGTATTGATGGGGCCAACAGGTGGCATGGTGGTTAAGGGTGCTAGACTCCCACATGGCCAACCATGGTTTGTGTCCTAGATCTGGTGGCTTGCTTTCTCACTTTCCCTCTTTCTCTTTCTTGCTCTGTCCCTCTCAGGTCTGAGTGAATGAATGGATGAATGAATCAATCAATCTATCAATGTCATTAAAAAATGTATTGGTAGTCATAAATTAAGAGCTGTTTATATTTTGAAATATTGTGAAAATTTTTTAATGTAACTAAACTTGTAGTTTTCATATATTTTTGTTTTTAATCAGTCCATTTAACTTTGTATTAGATATCAGTAGCTGATCTTCCAGGTTTAATAGAAGGAGCACATATGAACAAAGGAATGGGCCACAAATTCCTTAAGCATGTCGAAAGAACTAGACAACTCCTTTTTGTTGTAAGTTATATGCATGCTAATGTAATGTTGCAATGAATGTGACAATCAATTAATTTAATTTTTCTAAAAAATTTTTATAAGTAAGATTTAAAGATAAAGTGGTAGCATATATTGTACTGCCCTCTGTTCACATGTTGGCCAAATACAGTAAATATAATGTGGGGATGGAAATAGCACTGTTTACTATAAGAGATGTAAGTTTGGCCATACTTGTCAAGTTTTAATTCCTTAAGATTTCTGATGTAGGGAGCAGGAGGTGACTTTATGGTAAGGTGTTGGACTCCTACGTGGCTGACTGTGGTTTGAATCCTGGGCCTGGTGGCTTGAAAATCACACTGATTGTGGGTGTGTGCATGCCCAAAATCCTAGGAGGAGAATGGCGGAGAAGAGACTGTGACATGGCCATCCCCCCGGGAGGGGATGATTTCTCACTTTCCTTCTCACTGTCTTTTTCTTGTCTGGTGAGCACACGCAACCTGTGGGAAAAACCTTAAAAAAATAAAAGAAAAGAAAATCTATAACAGTATTTTCTATTAAAATTTTTAAATTAAATGTACTTTTATTATTATTACTACTAATAATAATTTGCTATACAGTACATGTGCTCAGTGGAGAGAGAGGGAAAGTGAGAAAGCAAGCTGCTAGGTCTGGGGCTTAAACCACAGTTGACTATGTGGGAGTCCAGTGCCTTAGCTACCATGCCACCTGCCAGCCCTCCAATTCAAATTTAACATTATAGAAAAAGAAATTATTTCTGATATACTATTATGTAGTATTTCTTTCATACTTTATTGATGGTGCTAAACTTATATATGAGATTGTCTGTATTATTAAAAATTATCTGTACTAGTTTCTGATTTTTTTAATGACTATCATTTGAACAGAACAATTATAGTTACCTTGGCACCTCAATTTTTGTTACGTATTTTGAATTACTAAATTATCTATAGAGTATAGATTGAGAAATTGCTTTTAGCATGAGAGAATAAAACATTTCCAAACAGAAATATCTAACCTTTTTATATTAAAGACTTTCTCTTTCCTCCTCCTTCCTCCTCCTTTTTTTTTTTTTTGTAGGTTGATATTTCTGGATTTCAGCTTTCTTCAAAAACTCATTATAGAACTGCTTTTGAAACCATAATACTGCTTACAAAAGTAGGTCTTCTGTTTTACTGTGTTCTGTATTTGGACTAATATACATGTGGGACTATATAAAATAACATACTAATTACAGTAAATACATCCTCCACCTTACTTTTAAAAAAAAATAATTATTTATTTTAATTTCATTTATTTATTATAATTTGACCAGAGAGAGATACACAGAGAGAGAGAAAGTGAGAAAGCAAGCCACCAGGTCTGAGACTCAAACTGCAGTTGGCCATGTGGGAGTGTCTAACACCTTAACCACCACACCACCTTCTAGTCCCTCCACCTTACTTTTTAAACCTTTGATATTAAAGAATTTTTATTTTCTCTCTCTTTTTTTTTTTTAAGAGGTTTTTGCTATAGGGTGAGTACGCTTACCAGAAAGACAGAGAGAGACAGAGAGACAGAAAGTGAGAAATCACCCCCCAGGGGGGATGGTCACACCACAATGCCTTCTCCTCCATTCTCCTCTCGGGATCTTGAGCACACACCCAAAAACCCACCCCCGGCCTGAGTTTAAGCCACCAGATCCGGGACTTGAACCACCGTCAACTACGTGGGAGTCCAGCAACATAGCCATTATGCTAACTGCTGGTCCCATCTTACTTAAACTTTGACACATTTTTTTTCTCAACTCATTTTTCATCCTTAGCTTCATGAATCATAGTCTCCTTGTTTCCTTCCTACTTAAGATGTTTCTCAGGACCAGCAGGTGCATAATGGTTATGTCTCTGGACTTTCACATGGTCACTTGCACTTGGAGTCTGTGAACCGGCAGTTTAAAACCCATGCCAGGCACGTGTGCGTACACACTCAATATTCCGAGAGGAGATTGGAGGAGAGGGGATTGCGGCATGGCCATGTGGGGGTGTGGGTAGTGATTTCTTGCTTTCTGTCTTTCTTTCTTTGCCTCTCTGGCAAGCACATGCACCCTATAGCAAAAATCTCTTTCTAAAAAAAAGTTTCTCAATTTCCTCTTAGGCTTTCAACTCATCCTTTAAATACTTTCATTCATAGTTCTTTTCTAACCCTTTGTACAATCTTTTTTTTGAGAGGTTTTTGCTATAGGGCGCATGCACTCACCAGAAAGACAGAGAGAGAGAAAGCGAGAAATCACCCCCAGGGGGGATGGCCACGCTGCAATCCCTTTTCCTCCATTCTCCTCTTGGGATCTTGGGCATGCATGCACCCACGCCTGGCGGGAGTGTAAGCCACTAGGTCCTGGACTCGAACCACAGTCAGCTACATGGGAGTTCAGCGACATAGCCATTATGCCAATTGCTGGTCCCAAGCTTTGTGTAATCTTAATCCATTTCTGTTGCTTTAGTTATAGTTAGTATACTCCGCTAGATCCATATCTGATACCCACCTTGATTGATTATGCTTTATGCCAGATACCTGTTTGTGTTCAACATCTTTGCTTGGATGTCCTATTAGTGACTCAGACTTCATATGTGTAAAGCTGAACTCTTGGGCCACTGGTGGCATGGTGGTTAAGGTGGCTGGATCCCACATGGTAACATTTTTTTTATGGAGAGGTTTTTTTTGATATAGGGCGCGTGCACTCACCAGACAGAGAGAGACATAGAGACAGAAAGCAAGAAATCACTCCCCGGGGGGATGGTCACGCCGCAATCCCTTCTCCTCCATTCTCCTTTTGGGATCTTGGGCACGCACGCACATGCGCCCAGTATGAGTTTTAAGCCACTGGGTCTGGGACGCGAACCGCGGTCGACTACGTGGGAGTCCAGTGACATAGCCATTATGCTAACTGCTGGTTCCCTACATGGTAACATTTTGAGGAGGATAGCTCCATGGCCTTGTGTTTAAGGAAGTCAGATCCCACATAGCCAATCCAATAGACCTGGTGGCTTGAGAAACACATTGGGCATGTGTGTGTGCACACCCCAAATCCCAAAAGGAGTGCAAAATGGAGCACAAGGGATTGTAGTGTGACCACATTCCATATCTCTTCTTACTGTCTCTTCTGTCTCTGTCTGGCAAGAACTTATATCCATGGGCAGAGTTTAAAAAAACAGTTTTTTTAAGAACTGCCCAGCTGTTTTCCAAATTGACTGCACCACTGTATCATTTATAATCCCACCAGCAACATATGAGGGTCCCACTTTTTCACATCAATGCCAACACTTGTTTTTGCCTGTTATTATTCTTTTTCTATCCTAGTAGAAATGCCATGGTACTTCATTATGGTTTTTATTTGCATTTCTCTTATGAGTACTGATGGTGAGCATCTTTTTGTGTCTGTAGTAGCAATTTACATGTCTTTTGGGAAATGTCTATTAGATTCTATCCCCATTTTAAAATTGTACTTGTCTTTATTAAAGGTTGAGTTGTGAGAGTTTTTTATATTTTTGAATATAGGTCCCTTATCAGATACACGATTTTAAAATATTTTCATTCTTTCTGTGAGTTGTACTTATAGTTTTTGTTTTTTTTTTATGGTATCTTTGGAGCACAAAACTTTCTGCTTTTTTGTTTACTGCCCCAGTTTTATTACGGTATAATTGACAAAAGGTATATATATTTGCAATGTATAAGTGATGCTTTGGTATATGTATACATTGTGAAATAATTAAATAAATCTAATTAATATATCCATTATCTCACATACTTACTCTTTCGTCATGACAGCTTTTAAGGTCTATATTCTTTAAACAGTTTTCAATATATAATTCATTTTTATTTACTGTAATCATCATGCTGTACAATAGATCTCCAGAACTTAATCTGGGTGAAACTTTGTTCTCTTTGACCAATACCTCTCCATCTCCCCTCAAACCCCTCACAATTACCATTCTTCTTTCTGCTTCTATGAGTTCAACTTTGTTAGATTCCACGTTAAGTGAGAGGATGCAATATTAGTTTTTGTATGCCTGGCTTATTTCACTTAGCATGATATACTCCAGATTCATCCATATTGTTAAAGGAAAAGGATTTCCTTCTTTTTTAAGGCCGAACAGTATTCTGTTATATGTGTTTTTATATCATATTTTCTTTATCCTTTTACCCAGTGATAGACACTTAGATTGATTTCATTTTCTTGGATATTGTGAGTAATGCTACGGTTAACATGGGAGTGCAGATATCTCTTCAACACACTGATTTTATTTCCTTTGAATATATACCCAGAAGTGGGATTATTGGATACTATGGTAGTTCTGTTTTTTACTTTTTCATACGAGTTACACTAATTTTCATTCCCATCAGTGATGTTCAAGGGTCCCTTTTTTTTTTTCATATTCTTTCCAATACTTATTATCTTTTGTCTTTTGATAATCTAACCATCCTAACAGGTATAAGGTAATACGTCATTGTAGTTTTCATGTTAATTTCTCTGATGATTAGTAATGTTGAACCCTTTTAAAATACATGTATGTATGTATGTATAGATAGGCATACATACACATGCCTGTTGTTTATTTGTATGACTTGTTTTGAGAAATGTCTATTCAGGTTCTTTGCCCATTTTTAGATAGGGTTCATATTATCCAAAGTGATCCACAGATTCAACACAATCCCTATCAGAATTTTTCACAGAAATAGAAAAAATGGTCCTAAAAATTGTATTGAGCTATAAAAGACCCTGAATAGCCATAGCACTCTTGAGCAAAAAGGACAAAGCTGGAGCTTTATGGTACTGAGTTCAAGACCTACTACACTGCTGTAGTAATTAAAACAGAATATAGTACTTTGGTCTGTGCAATATTTTTTTTAATGACTCCAAAAGCACAGACAACAAAATCAGAAATATACACATGAGATTATGTCAAAACTAAAAGGCTGCACCACCACCACCACAACAAAAATAATCAGCAGTGAAAAGACAGCCTACAGAATGGAAGAAAATGTTTATAAAGTATAAGATCTGATAAGGAGTTAACATCTAAAATATATAAGGAACTCAACACAATAGCAAGAAAATAACCCCAGATTTTTAATTTAATGTTCCATTTGTATTATTTTTTTCTTTTCCCTGTCTCTCTGTCTCTCTCTGGTGAACACATGTTTGTGCTTTTCATATCATTGCTAAGAAATCATTGACTAATCTAAGGTCATGAAGATTTACTCTTAAGTACATTCACTTTTTCCAAAAATATTACAGGTATAACCTTAACTTGTCATTACTGATTTTTGAATTTTATTTGTATATAGTCCATATTCCTATATGTGGTTCTAGATACAAAAATCACAACTGTCCCTAGGAGGTCATGTGCTAAAATACCGTAATACATGATCTAAACAAAAACCTTTTGAATTTCTTTTTTAGTTTTGTGGTTGTAGGAATTTATTGCATTTTAGTGATGGATTCTTAGATTATCCAGGTCATTACAGTTTAGAAAAATATTAACAAACATTAATTTATATGTATGCTTCTATGAAGTTAATTTGTTTTTTTCTCTTTTAATTTTAAGGAGTTGGAGTTGTACAAAGAGGAACTTCAGACAAAACCTGCACTCTTGGCAGTTAACAAAATGGACTTGCCAGATGCCCAGGATAAATTTCATCAACTGTTGAAGCAACTCCAGAATCCTAAAGGTAATAAACTCATTAATTTATTTAATTCCAACTTAATAAATACTTAAAATGTTCAGAGAATGCTAAGTGTTATAATTAATGAAAAAGAAAACTGAATGTTTCTATTTTTAAAAACTATGTATAGCTTAAGAAAGAACTCATGTCACATGAAACATTTAAATAACACCAAAACCTAGTAATTATCAAGTTCTAGAATGCATGTTACAAACAATAAGTTAGAAGAGGAAAAAAATAAAAAGGAAGATTACTTTGAATTCAGGTCAGGTTTCATGAACAAGTAAAACTTATTCTGAGCCCTGAAAGGGTACATAGGATTTTTATAAGAGCAAGAAAAAGTTAGCATTGACCTGGGAAGTCTTTCACTTCACCCTACTTCATATGCTCTAGAACTTTATTCCCATAGTACACCAAAAACTTTAAAAACAGAGGTAATAGGCCTGGTTCTGTGACGTGGTGGTTAAGGTGGCTGGATTCCACAGGACTGATCTTATAGCTCAAATCCAGACCCTGGCAGCTTGATGAATACATTGGGCACTTATGCATGTGTACCTAAAATTGCAGCAGGGTGGAGAAATAGAGGAGAAAGGATTGTGGCTTGACCATGCCTTATTGGAGGATGCTTGGTCCCTCTCCTTCTCTGTTTCTCTCTTTGGTACACACACATGCCCTCTGGCAAATTAAGAACAACAGCAACAAAATAGAGCTAATAGTTCTAAAGAGGTATGTTTCTTGGCAACACAAACTCTGTATGTCTTTGATGAGTACGTCTATTTTTTTTTTAAGAATTATTTTTATCCATTTATTTTATTTCAATTTGACCAGATGGACAGAGAGATAGAGAGAGCGAGAGAGAGAGAGATTGAGAAAGTGAAAAAGCAAGTTGCCAGGTCTGGGATTCGAACTGTGGTTGGCCTTGTGGGAGTCCAGTGCCCCTAACCCCACGCCACCTACCACCCCTGAAGAGTACTTCTAAAAAGAACTTGCATTCTCCTGTGTATGTGTGACACAGAAAAATAGATGCTGTTACATCAAAAGATATTTTTGGGGACCAGCAGTTAGCATAATGGCTCTGTCGCTGAACTCCTATGTAGTCAACTGCGGTTCGCGTCCCAGACCCGGTGGCTTAAAACTCACGCTGGGCGCGTGTGCATGCGTGCCCAAGATCCCGAGAGGAGAATGGAGGAGAAGGGATTGCGGCGTGGCCACCCCACTGGGGGGGGATTTTTCGCTTTCTGTCTCTCTGTCTCTCTCTGTCTGTCTGTCTGGCGAGTGCACGCGCCCTATAGCAAAAACCTTTAAAAAAAAAAGAAAAAAACAGATTTTTTTGTCCAAAATTTCCTTAACAGGCCATTTTGTATTAAGGAACTTAAAGGGACTCTCCACAGTTTTGCATCTTGACTTTTGCAGAACTCCCTTTATGCTACAGTGATGAGACTTTCATTTTTCTGAGGCTAGCACAGGACCTTGTCTACAAACAAGGAAAAATAAAGTGCCTGGTTAAGTGGCAAACATGTTTTTAAATAGTGCTAATTTCTGTATGTTTTTATCCTTGAGATAACACTTGGGGAAAATAGATTATAGTGTGCTAGGACTAACAGCGCCAGAAGGTTTTTGCCCTTTCTCTCCTGTCAAAACTCTTTCTGTATAATTTGATGGAGCTATACTTGAGTTAATAAGTTATTCTTGGGATATAAATATTCCCTAATATTATTAAATAATCTTTGTTCCTTAGTGGTTTTTGCTTTGTAAAGTCATTATTTCTGTTTGCTAGTTGATCTTGCAGAGAAAGGAATTTTTAGAAGAGATAGCAGTTGTGAAGTTAACTCAAGAGTTTGTAGGTATTCTGAACCAACATAAAATAAACTGTTAGCCTTTCAATGATGATTCATGAGTTAGGCTATCTGCACTTAATTGGGAGCCTATGTAGCTCAGAAATCAAGCTCTGTGTTGACTTGTGCAATCTTTCAGTCTTGCTTTTTTATAGTTCATAGCAGTGTTAAACCATCCAATCAGCATGCTGTCTCTCTTTCTCATTGCCATGGTGACAAGGAAGGGGAAAAAGTAATAAACTAGCACCTGTGGAGTGACAGGTTGACCTCACCTGAGATGATTTTCCCTCAAACTCTCCTCATTCTCTCTCCAGTTTTAGGATGGAACCTAGGAATAGTTACTGTAAGCCTATATACTTTAGAGAAGTTAAAGGTTTCCTATGTACTAAGACCTGTTAGAATGTCCCAAAATTATATATACAGATGTTATTACTTACACAGAAAATTATTTTCAAAGAATCTGTTCCCTTACCTTATTGAGCCCTTCCAAAAAAGCAAAATTTATTCCGTAAGTAAACTATTTTTTGTGATTCATCTTCTATTTGTACTTAATTTGGTTTAAAACATATTTATTCAAGAAATATTTACTAAGTACTTAACGTGTGCCAAGAATTTTCAGCAGTAAAAGTCAAAAGTTCTGTGTTCATATTAGAGAGAGAAGGGACAAAAGGAATTAAAAATACAAAAATGTCAGTTCCTTGTTTCACAAATCAAACCTCTAATATAGTTCTGAGTACTTTCAAAGACAAAATCAGCTTAGCTTTGTATTCTTTGTTTCAGATTTTCTTCATTTATTTGAACAAAACATGATTCCAGAGAGGACTATAGAGTTCCAACATATCATCCCCATCTCAGCAATGACTGGAGAAGGAATTGAAGAATTAAAGAACTGTGTAAGAGAATCACTGGATGAACATGCCAACCAGGAAAATGATGCATATCGTAAGAAACAATTGTTTAATTTAGAGATTTCCAATACAATATCTTACAGTAGACCACCATCGAAGCATGCTGCTATCAGTTCCAAAATGGATATAATTTAAATCTATTAAAAATGGTACTGATAGAATACTATTTGACCCTAAAAATAAATGAAGGAAAGCCTGCCATTTACGACAACATAGATGAACCTGGAGTCATTATGCTAGGTGAAGAAGTGATACAGTGAAAAACAAATATTGTATAATGTCCTATGTGACACCCAGAAACCTTGAACTCATATAAGCACAGAGTAGGATGGTGATTGGGAGCTGGGAGCAAGGGTGGTTTGGGAGATGTTAGTCAAAGAATACCAAATTCCAGGTAAGAAGAGAAATAAGTTTTGAGACCTGTTGGGTTGTCAGAAAAGTCATGATGCATTTTTACATAGAAAAACAGAAAAATATGACATGACTTTTCCAGTGACCCAATTTTATACAGGATGGTATCTAGTTAATAAAAACATATTTATTCTATTTTGAAAATTGTTAAGAAGGTGGATTTTAAGTGTTCTCACCACAAAAACTAGGTATGTGAGGTAATGCATGTGTTAAATAGCTTGATTGAACCATTCCATAATGTATACATATTTCAAAACATCATGTTGTATAAATATATATAATTTTTATGTGTTCATAAAAATGGTATAAAAATAATGTTGATATTAAAAACTTTTCTACACTTCTTTAGTATTATTGGCTTCTATATATGTACCATCATTTATGATCTGTTTTTAACTTATTGTCTTATAGTTAAATATATCAGCAGTAAATTGTCACAGCTAAAAATTACATTTTACAAATTTATGGCCATTCCATCTATGATAACATTTTTTGATGTTCTGTTCTTTAAAATGCCCCAATGAGGTCCTTTTTAAAAATCATATGAAAGGATTCCCTAGATTATTATTAGAATGAACAACTGTGTTTTGTTTGTTTATATTTGAATCTGTCATATACCTAGTTCCACTAAAAATATAATAATTGTTTTGTGGAAAACCTCAAAACCCTATATTTGAGTATGTTTGGTAATAATAAACATCACAGGACCAGCGGTTGGCATAATGGCTATGTTGCTGGACTCCCTTGTAATTGACAGCGGTTCGAGTCCCAGACCCGTGGCTTAAACTCATGCTGGGTGCATTTGTGTGCGTGCCCAAGATCCCAGGAGGAGAATGGAGGAGAAGTGATTGTGGCATGGCCATCCCCCTGGGGGTTAATTTCACACTCTCCATTTCTCTGTCTCTTTCTGGCAAGTGTATGTACCCTGTAGCAAAAACTTCTCAAAAATAAATAAATAAATAAATCATGACAGTATTTAACAGAAACTAGCAGATAATAGCTTATGATTTTAGTTGGAAAATTTTTCTTTCTTAAATGTAATATTTTAGTAAAGAGAGAAATAGTAATGAGAAAATACAAACTTGAACACTAGTAAATGTGAGAAATTACAATTTCTCAATTTCTTTTTAATTTTTTTTTAAAGAATTATTTAATTTTGTTTTTTCATTCATTTATTTTAATTTGACCAGAGAGAGAGGAAGCAAGAAAGCAAGCCACCAGATTCAGGACTCAAACTGTGGTTGGCCATGTGGGAGTGTCCAGCGTCTTAACCACCATGCCACCTGCTGGTCCCCTCTTCTTATTTTTATACAGTCAATTACTATATATCATTTAGCCTGTAAAGAGAATTTACCCAACTTGAAATATACCCCATACTAGTCCAGTTGAGAACATTATACACATTATTATTAACAGGTAATAAATTATTTCCTTTTTTATTTTTCTTCTGGAGAGGGTTTTGCTATAGGGCATGTGCACTCGCCTGAAGATAGAGACAGACAGAAAGACAGAAAGTGAGATGGCCATGCTGCAATCCCTTTTCCATTTTCCTCTTGGGATCTTGTGCATGCACACACATGTGCACCTGGCATGAGTTTAGGTCACCAGGTCTGGGACTTGAACCAAAATTGACTACGTGGGAGTCCAGTGACATAGCCATTATGCCAATTGCTATGCCCCACCAATCCTTACTTATTTTTTCTCCCTAATTTCCGTTCCGAATCTCTTCCCCTCTCCCACCTCCTTCCACACTGTCTCCAGTGTCCATAACTGTTCTCAGTGCTTTTATATCCTCCAATCTTTCAGGCTCTACCATAGAGTGGACAGCCTGTATATGTTAAGTAGAGACATACAGTGTCTCTCTTTTCTAGGCTGACTTGTTTCACTCAGCACTAAATCTTCCATATTCATTCACTTTCTACCAAATGCCAAGGTCTTGTTTTATATGACTGAACAGTATTCCATGTAGTATATGTGCCACACTTTTTCAGTCCGCTTACCTGTTCATGGATTTGGGTTGGTTTCATGTCTTAGCAATCGTGAATAATGCCACAATAAACATAGATGTGCAAGAACTTTTCTGACAGCATTCTTCTGTCCTTTGAGTAGATACCTAAGAGTGGAATTACTGGATCATATGTTAGTTCTATTTTTAGGTCTTTGAGGAACCCTCCCCCCTCATATTGTTCTCAGTGACTGGACCAATTTATATTCCCACAAACAGTGTAGGAGAGTTCCCCTTTTTACCACAGCCCCACCAGCACTTGCCATTTTTTGTTTCCTTAATCTTCGCCATTCTGACGGGTTAGGTGGTATCTCATTGTGGTTTTGATCTGCATCTCCCTTATGATGAGGAATGTTGAGCATTTTTTCATATGCTTTTTGGTTGTTCATATATCTTCCTTAGAGAGTTGTTTGTTCAGCTCATTTTCCCATATTTTAATTGGGTTGACCCCAGGTAAATCACTGGAATTCCTTGCGTATTCTGGTCCCTTATCTGGGATATACTTTACAAAAATAGTCTCCCATTCTGAGGGTTGTTGATTCATAGTAATTGCTGTCTTTTACTATGCAGAAACTTCTTAATCTGATGCAATCCCATTTATCTATTTTTGGAATTACTGCCTGTGCTTTGAGGGTCTTATTTAAGAAGTCTTTGCCTTCCCCAATTTCTCCCAGAGTTTCTTCAGTGTTTTCCACTAGTAGTTTTATAGTTTGAGGTCTTAGGTTTAAATCTTTGATACACTTTGAGTTGATTTTTGTAAATGGTGAGAGGTAGGGGTTCAGATTCATCTTTCTGCAGGTGGATACTCAGTTTTTCCAGCACCATTTGCTAAAGAGACTTTACTTTTCCCACTGGATTGACTGGTACTCTTTGTCAAAGATCAACTGGTATGTTTTGGGGTTTATTACTGGGGTCTCTATTCTGTTCCATTGGTCCACATATCTGTTTTTGGGCCAATGCCATGCTTTTTTTTTAAAAAAAAAAAAAAGTAAATTTTACTTAGATATTTCCTAGACTTGATTCCAGTTTAAAGTGGTCCTTAAGTAGGCTTTATGTCCTATACTTTGTTATTGTAGGAAGAGCTAACAGCAGGTTCATTTTAAAATAATTCTTAAATAATTTTCTTTAAAGAAAAAAAGAGAGAGCTTCTTCTTTTTACCTCTATGGAAAATTAATAGCTGAAAATAGTATCTAATTAGTACCATTTATAACAGGTATTTTCTAGCTAAGATTTAAGCCACTCTTAGCTTTGAAATTTTAACTGAATTTCAGTTGAACTTTAAGAAACATTAACCATAAACTTACAATAAATGTCCTACTGTCAATTTTATGTCAAATTGCTAATATTCCTCTTGCCTAGACAAAATTGCTGAAGGTCTTCCTTTACCATCAGAGCTCAAAGATGCCTAAGCTATAAGTATATGTGAAAACTGTTTATACCTGCAAAGTTACATAAGAGATTCCAGTTGAAGTTAACACATAAATATGAAGTGCTATATTAGAAAACAAAACAAAAACACAGTTCATTTGAGGGCAATGAAAACTGTTTCATTTTTGAAGATCTGACACTATAAAGAATGAAAAACATATACAAGATTATCATTCTAATTGTTCTGTTTTTCTCTTTTCATTCTAAGAATGTTGTCTTTTTTTTGGAGAGGTTTTTGCTATAGGGCGTGTGCGCTCACCAGACAGAGAGAGACAGAGAGATAGACAGCAAGAAATCACCCCACCCTCCCAGAGGGGATGGCCACACCACCATCCCTTCTCCTCCATTCTCCTCTCATGATCTTGGGCATGCGCCTGGCATGAGTTTAAGCCACTGAGTCCCGGACTCTTGTCCCGGTCGACTACATGGGAGTCCAGCAACACAGCCATTACGCTAACTACTGGTCCCAGAATGTTGTCTTTTCAAGAGTGAATGCTAGCTGGTAAAACTGATGCATAAGACATTTATCTATACTTGACCAGAGGTTGTAGGGCTACTTTGCCAGTTGGATATTTTAAATTCTCTTGTGTTAAATATAAACATTTTCCCAATACTATTACTAAGTCGCATCTCACTCATTTTCCTCCTTAAGAACTGCATAGGCTTGTTTTAAACATGTAATAAACTATAATTTGCTGAGAGTAGAGGTACTCTGGTTAATGATTAATATAGGTGTAACCAGTGGAAAAGTAAGCATTATTAAACGTGAATGTAATCCTTATCAACATAAATGGAACCTTTTTTTTTCTCAATAAAAAAGCTAGTCCACAAAAAGGTCTCATCTATAAAGATTTATTTCCAAATCACAGTGAAAAGAACTGCAATAATTTACCAATTTTGTTTTCTATGTGCCGTTAAGATACCACTAAAAATTGGTATCAGATACAAAAGAATACCTACATTTACAGAATGTAATATTGTAGTGAAATTGCTGAGGTTGATTGTTACAGATCATTAAGCTCTTTGAATATGGTTATATCTTAATTATTTGTACAGAACCTTGGTCCAATAACATAAAAATAGAGAACGGCATCTGAAAATTTATCTCATTCAGTGTTCAAAGATAAAAGAGTTAACAGTTTTTTCTCATTATTCTCTGCAGGTAAGTCCTTGTTCATGATGAAATCTGATAGCAATTAAATACTGGCATTTTTCTAAGCTACTGTATGAAGAGGATGCTGAAGGCATCACTAAAAATCATATAGCAACATATGGGCTCTGCCATTCACCACTTCTGGCACACTTCCAAAATATACCCAACAATCCAATTTTATTTCTGTCCAGCAGGCTGGTTGCCAAGGATCAGATATAAGCACAGGTGCATATAAGCAGCAAGATTATTGTCAACAGACTGAAAATCGAAAATGGCAGACATAGTGAGGCTGCTGGTGTCCCAGCCACATCACCCTTCTGGGCCCAGAGCCCCATGCTGGTTTTTTGTTTTCTTTTTTTTAAAGAGGTTTTTTTTTTAAGAGGTTTTTGCTATAGGGCACGTGCGCTCGCCAGACAGATAGAGATAGAAAACGAGAAATCACCCCCCAGGGGGGATGGCCATGCCACAAATCCTTCTCCTCCATTCTCCTTTTGGGATCTTGGGCACACATGCACACGTGCCCAGCATGAGTTTAAGCCACTGGGTCCGGGACTCGAGCTGCGGTCGACTAGGTGGGAGTCCAGCGACATAGCCATTACACCAATTGCTGGTCCCAACCCCATGCTATTTTGATTATCACAACTTTGTAATAAATTTTGGGGTCAGGAAGTGAGATGCTGCCCTCTCCACTCTTATGTAGGATTGCTTTGGGAATATGGG